ATGAGATGTAATTCTCCCACTCTACTCTGCACTGATTAGGCCTCAATTGGAGTATTGTATCCAGTTCTGGACACCACATTTCAGGAAAAATTGAGAGAAACTGTAAAAGGTATACAGAAGAGCAGCAAAAATGAAGAAATGTCTAGAAAACATGACCTATGGGGCAGAACTGGCCCTAGGGAAAATTTCTTCCTGGGTGAACCCGTGTTTGGCACCACCCTTTTCTCCTGATACCTATGGGCTCCCCACGTCCTGCAGTCCCATATTGTGCCTCCTTTGCCACAAACCCCTGCATTGTGCCCACTTTGACCCTAACCTCTGCACAGTGCTGCCTTCAACCCTAACTCCTGCACTTCCCTCCCCACTGTGCTCCCAACCCCATCCCTGCACTGCCAAGAAGCCCTGCCACACTGCTCTCTACACCGTATCCCACCTCCTTATGCCAAGCAACTCCCTGGCCAGTGGCTTCCACCTAGAGATGGTTTGTGTCCTGCAGCATTTACAATCTATGAATTCATGTGACAAATAAAAGGTCTCAAGAAACAGAAACAAATATATGCAATTTGTGAATACATTTGGAATATTGTTATTATTATTATTATAATTAGACAAACTACCCACTATCTGTAACTGTCTGATTTCTCATAGGCATTGAGTCGGAGATGTGTTTCGAGAAGACATGAGGAGGAAAATGTAAGTGGCATTGTGGGATGGAATTCCATGCACAGATGTGGATAAGTGGTGATGGTGATGTCTGTATATGGTGGAGTCTGTGCAGATGTGTTAGGAGCAGATGGGTAGGTATCAGTACAGCAGATACAGCTGGATTAGATAGAGAGGTGATAGGGTTCATGCAGCAGACACAGCTGTATTATGTGACAGAGTGGGGCAAGGATGGTGGGGTATGTTTGGCAGGAAGGTCAATGCAGAAAACAGGGTTATGTAAATTGGGGTGGCTGAAGCAGGCAGGACTCTTTGGTGCATGGGGGAGGTCAAGGTAGCAGGCATTACAGCAGATACAGCTGGATTAGATAGAGAGGTGATAGGGTTCATGCAGCAGACACAGCTGTATTATGTGACAGAGTGGGGCAAGGATGGTGGGGTATGTTTGGCAGGAAGGTCAATGCAGAAAACAGGGTTATGTAAATTGGGGTGGCTGAAGCAGGCAGGACTCTTTGGTGCATGGGGGAGGTCAAGGTAGCAGGCATGGCTGTGTGAGGTGCAGGTTGTGTGCATGGAGTCTGTATAGCAGGTAGGGCTGGGTAAGGTGTGGGTGGCTGTATGTGTGTCGTAGGAGTCAGGGAAGTGTGACATTGTGCATAAGTGTGGGAGTAGCGCAGCAGGTGAGGCAGGGGGAGGGGTTGTATTATTTTTGTGGGACAGGTCAGGACAGGAGGCTGTGTGGTGTGAGGTATTTGCAGCTGTAGTGTATGTATCAGGTCAGTCAGCAGGCAGGGCTGTGTGAGGGGCTGTAGCGTGTGTGTGGGGGGATCAGTGCAGCACGCAAGGTTGTGTGAAGGATTGTAGCGTGTGTAGAGTGAGTGCAGCAATTGGGGCCTGTAGCGTGTGTGTGTGTGTGTGTGGGGGGGGTCAGTACAGCAGGTAGGATGGTGAGAGGGTGTGTCAAGACAGCATGTAGTATGTTGTGAGGTGGGGAACTGAATCGTGTGGCATTAGTTCAGTAGGCAGAGTGATGTGAGGTAGGGGCATCCGAGCAGCAAACAGGGTGGTGTGAAGAACTGTAGTGCATGTGTGGGGTCAGGGTAGTGTGAAGGTCAATGCAGCAGGCAGAACAGTGTGAGGTGGAGGAGTCAGGGCAGCAAGCAAACTAGTGAGAGGGACTGTAGTGTGTTGTGGGAGTGGGGTGAATGCAGCAGACAAAGTCATATGAGGGGCGTCTAGTGTATTGATTGTGTGGGGTCAGGGCAGGAGACAGGGTTGTGTGGTGGTGGCAGATCAGTGCAGTGTGAAGTGGGCAGCTCACAGCAGCGAGGATGTAGTGGGGGGGGGCATTAAGTCAGTAGGAAGTTGGTATGAGGGGTTGTAGTGTAGTGTATTGTCTATGGGACCTGGGCAACATAAGGATCTATACTGTGTATGTGGTGGTGGGCGGGGAGGGGTCATCAGGGCAGCTGCCAGGATGCTGTTACGGGGTTAGTGTATGGTGTTGCAGGTCAGTGTGTGGAGTGGGTCAGGGTAGGTGACAGGGCAGTGTCAGTTAAAGTTGTTAGAGTAACAAAGAGGGTGGTGTGAGACAGGAAGTCAGTGCAGTGGCAGGACAGTGTGAGGAGAGGTGTTCAGGGCAGCCGCCCGGGAGAGGAAGGGCAGTGAGAGGGGTCAGACTACTAGGCAGGGGAATGTGGGGGTATCGGCAGGCGTGCAGTGAGAGGGGGTCAAAGTACCAGGCAGGGCAATGTGGAGGTGTTGGGGATTGGGCAGGGAGGCAGTAAGAGGGGGTCAGAGTACCAGGCAGGGCAATGTGGGGGTGTCAGGCAGGCAATAAAGGGGTCAGAGTACCAGGCAGGGCAGGGCAGAGGTGTCGGGGGGCAGGCAGGCAGTGAGAGGGAGGTCAGGGTACCAGGCAGGGCAATGTGG